ACACACACACACACACACACACACACACACACACACACACACACACATTTCCATCCGTCCTCTTTACCTGCTTCTTTGTTTCTGGGTCACTGGTGCCCATATCCAGCAATCGCTGTGTGAGAGGCAGGGGACACCCTAGACAGGTTGTGTTGTGGCCATCACAACACCACATGGACAGGACAGAGTTTCTTTATTTGTCATATGCACCGTGGTGGAATGAAAATGTGTAAACAGGATCCCAGTTACATCCAACAAAAGTATAAATTGTAAAGAGAAACAGTAATAAGATCTAAGATATGAACTAATAAATTTGTTAAACTGAAAATATGCTAACAACCATTCTCACACACACACACACACACACGCACATGTACGGACAATTTAAAGTTACTAATTCGCCAAACATGCATGATTTTAATCCAAGAACCTTTCTGGGTGGAGTTTGCATGTTCTCTCCATGCTGCGTGGGTTTTCTCCAGATACTCCAGTTTCCTCCCACAGAACAAAAACATGAATGTTAGACTGATTGGTAACTCTAAATTGTCCCTAGGTGTCCCTGTGACAGACTGGAGACCTGTCCAGGGTTTCCCCCGCCTCTCGTACAGGGATTGCTGGACATGGGCACCAGTGACCCCCGCGACACAAAAAGGAAGACGTGGGTAAAGATAATCGATGGACGGATGAAAAGAAAACAATATTAAAACAATATTAAATTATTAAGCAACATATCTTATTTCGTCACAAAAAAAATTTAATGCAATTTGTAAAATAGGGATTCAGAAAAATTATGTCTGCCGCACTATTTTTGCTCTAGAGCTGCCACTGATAAACATTAATATAAATATGTGTGGCTGCTACGACAATAAAGTCGGGGTCTTACACATTATTCATATACCTCAGCAAAACACTTCTTTAGGGAGGCTGGAGCTTCTCCATCCAGGACCTGCAGAACTGCTTCTATGTCTTCTTTGGCAGCATATCCACCCAGATCACTGGCAAACAGGCTAAAAAGATCTGTGAGAGCACACACACAGTGTCACAACAGTATTCCAAGTTTAGACAAGACACTAGCTTTCTTGCACAAAGCGACACTGAAGAGGATAAAAGTTGTGTGTATACTTAGAGAGGTCTGGACACGTTGCAACAGGTATTTACGCTAACCGTTCAAAGTTATGAAATAAATGTTGACCGACCTCAATCAAAAGTATGTGTCCTTGGCAAAGTTTTTATTCCCCTCACTCGAACAAAGACACGAAAATCTGGCCAGTTAAAATTACAACTCTAACGTTTATTTTCAGTTTGTATAATGACAATATGTAATTATAGCAAATGTGAAATATGAACGAGTAAACAAATAGTAATAATTCAAAAAGGTAACTAATATAAATAGATTTTACTTTGAAAAGACAAATAATCTAAGATTTAGGACAAAAGTTTAAAATTTAGGTACATTTTATGTCAGATCCGTGAACTAAATTATACATGTCTAAAAAGAACGTTGGTTACGTACTGTAACCCCAGATTCTGAGTATAGGTGCAGCCCTTTAAGGATGTCGCTAGTGGGTTTATCCCTTCGCACGCAGCACAGCACTGAAAACTTTAGTCCGCACCCACCGGCTGTGTGGGCCCCACCCCCCGTCGTATAAATTACGGTGATACCGGGCAATAGGCTCCCAAATAGCTTTTTTCTTCAGCTATTTAGGAACCAGTGAGGCCCAGAGCTTAAAGGGTTGTGCCTACACTCAAAGAATCTGGGGTTACAGTACGTAACCAATGTTCTATTTCGTATAGGCTTCACCCTTTAAGACTATCGCTAGTGGGTTAAAGGTGAAGCAGGATGTAGTCTATGCCTCACTGGGTCCATTCAGACACAACATGAAGCACCTGCTTGCACAAAAAACATTTCATCACTCAGCCTTCTTTGAGCGTAATTACGCGCTCCATGCACAGGAGCGCACCAGAGAAAAGATCTCTGGTGAGGAAAAAGGCTGCGATAGCAGACCTGCTGCTGTGAATAGGAACAACAGAGGTTGTAACAGTGTAATGATGAACAGAGCAGACCAACAGCTCCTCAGGACGAACCAATTAATAACGATAAAATCAGCAGTCATGAACTTGTGACCGATAATAAATCTCTCATACTGCGACTGCATACAGGCAGGTGTGAGCTCAAAAGTGAGGCTCCATGAAACAAATAATAATCATTCTGTCAGAACCCTGAGAACAGAATGGGTCATGGAGAAAGTAGAAACATCACGTAGATAAAAACAAACAAATGAACATGACGATGACCAGGCAGCCACCAAACAAATATCCTCCACTGTCATCTCTCCATGCAGAGCCATGGATGATGAAAACCCTCTGGTGGAATGTGCTGAGATTCTCTGGAGGATCTAGTCCAGATGAACTTTAAGCTTCAGAAATAGCCTCACACAACCAGTGTGAGAGGCGCTGGGTGGATGGAGGACATCCTGAAGAGCTGGCCCAGTAATGCACGAACATACGCTGAAAGCGGCGCAGTGCGGCCGTGTGCGCCACGTAACATGAAAATGCGCACATGGGACAGAAGGTGAGATGTTGCTTCCTCCTCAGAATTATGAGGAAGACGATAAAAAACCCATCCAAGGTTATCACTCTCAATCTGAATGAGCTTGTAATGCTTTTCAGAGCAGGGTTAAAATGCAGTACAGCTGAACTGCCGTCAGCTTGAATTCTGAGACATAAGGGTGCAACAGAGAGCAGATAATCACTCTCTTTGCCAACGTCAAAGCTAACAGCAGGGCTGTTTTAATGACAGAAATTTAAGAGAAACCTGATCTAAAGGCTCAGAAGGAGCTTTGATCAGAGCGTGCAGGACCATCGTTAGGTCCCACTGTGGAGCTAGTGGACATGACACAGGTCTGTGTCTCCATACACCTTTCAGAAAAACGCTTCATCAGCGGGTCAAAAACTGTTAAAAATTGTTCTGTCACAGAAACCCTCATGACAGGAAGAAATAGCTGCAGCATAACTTTAAATTGTACTGAATGATAAATTTCTGTCCATCAGTTGCTGTAGAAATGACAGCACGCCACCTGCTGTGAAATGGCCTCCACGCCTTTCTCTGGCACACCAGCACTGAAAAACTGTCCACTTGATGTGTACAGCGCTGTGGTGGAAGTGGCTCGTGTGCCCTGAATCGTACGCACCACATCCTGTGGGAGACCAATCTTTTCTAAACAGATCCATTCAGCAGCCAAACCTAAGGTCATTTTCACACTAGATAGTCCGGTAGACTCGGTTGGGGACCAATATTCATGACCTTTTGTTTACATTTGAGCTGGTGAGTTTGCATTCACACTGCACTGTGCAGTCGAGCAAACCTGTTGAACCAACCTATTCCCCCGCTCGCCTGTAGGGGCGCTGCACCAAGAACTACTGAAAGAAACGACACAAAAACCTCTGAAGACACGTCTTCTTCTTCTGTAAATAAAAATAAAAACGAAGTGGCATCAAGTTTTAGCAGTTTTAAGAGTTATATTTTGTCATTTTTCAAAAATGGACTCAGCATGAGCAGAAGATGAGACAGAAGACCATGGAGAATATTGTTTTTCACACAAGGCAGCTGACGGCTCCATATAAGAGAAATGTGTGTTTGTTTGTCCTGCGGAGCGGGTCTCGGTCTGTTTACATTCACACTGTACTCGAACCGTGCTGAAGTTCGCTTCTACCGAACCGAGACCTAGGTTTCAGCCCGGGCCAGAGTTCGTTTTTTTGTTCCGTGACAGAGTTCGATGGCGTGTTCACACCTCCCTAAACGAGCCGGACTTTCAAGGAAAACGAGCTAGAGTTTGATTAAAGCGGACTAAACAGGGCTAGTGTGAATGCACCCTAAAGGTGCCGGCCTATTTCTGGGTAACTCCTGATCGCTCTTCCTGCCTGAAGGAGAGCGTCCTCTCTCCACGGCAGTTTCCACGGCCGACCTGATATCAGTCGCTGCAAATTCGGGAACCACGGATCGCTTATGCGCTCGGGAGTTATGAGGATGACTGACAGTTCTTCCTCCCGGACCCGGTCCAGGGTCCGTGATATCAACAGGACTGGAGGGAACGCATAAAGGAGCATTTTTGGCCACAGGCTGAGAGAGAAGGCGTCCACCCCTAACGGTGGGTCGTCTCGAGGGCTCAGTGAGAACCATAACTGACACTGGGCGTTCTCCCGTGTGGCGGACAGATCTACTGCTGCTCGACTGAACCTGTTCCAAATCTGAGAGATCAGCTCAGGATGAAGGCTCCAGTCTCTGTGACGGGGATTGCCCCTCGACATTATGTCCGCTCCCCTGTTCAGGACGCTGGGAATGTACATTGCTCTGATGGAGAGCAGGTTTTTGTGTGCCGAACACAGCAGCTGTCTCGCGATGCGTAACAGTTGGGCTAAGAGCACGCCTCCCTGAAGGTTTATGTAAACTGCCGTCACTTTGTTGTCTGTGTGGATCAGAACATGCTGATCCCACAGCAGGAGGGCAAAATGCTGAGTCACGTTTCAGATCATGAAACATTCTAGCACATTTATGTGAAGCGACATGTGGTCCAGACACTATGCTCCCACTGCCAGGGACAAACACGCATCTGTGAAAACTGAGACAAGTCACATAGGCCTGCTGATGGGAACTCCCTCTGACAGAGAGAGTTAGAGCAGTCATCCTCCAATGCGAGAGTTGGGGGGTTCGAATCCATCAGCAGTCACATGCCGAAGTATCCCTGGGCAAGACACTGAACCCCTCATTGCCTCTGATGTGTGTCCCATCAGTGTATGAATGTGATCTAAAGCACTGATTAGTCTCATTAGAATAATTTGTTCAATTAGCTTTGTAGAGCTGTAGAGTGCTGTAGGGCTGCAACTAACGATTATTTCAATAATCGATTCATCGGCCGATCATTTTTTCGATGAATCTGCAAAAAATAAAACGTTTTCATTTCCACCCCTTTAATCCAAAATTGAACATTTGACTGACATAGCAATTCGCACAAAAAACATCTTTATACCTGCACAATATGTAGCTACTTTGTAAAATGTGTCCTTGAGGGAAGAGTGTAACCTGGATTAAAAGTGTGGAATATTGTAACCTGGATTAAAAGTGTGGATTATTGTAACCTGGATTAAAAGTGTGGAATATTGTAACCTGGATTAAAAGTGTGGATTATTGTAACATGGATTAAAAATTTGGATTATTGTAGTGAAGCCTTCATCTTCAACCATCGACAGAGGCCTCATGTCAGTGACGATCATTTAAGGATGATTTCAGTTAAGACAACTGCTGCTGTGGTGTCCATGATGTCTGTCCATCATGAAGTGTTGTTGTTTGTTGTTGTTTTCTGGAATGAAACAGTAAATATGTTTTATAACATAATTTACAGCAACTCAAGAAATGCCTTGTTTCACTTACAGTGTTAGGTTCAGGCAAAAGTAGCTAAGAGCAATTAAACACACACACACACACACACACACACACACACACACACACACACACACACACACATATATATATATATATATATATATAAATATATATATATATATATATATATATATAATACTTAAATTACTTTAATCCCTGTTTAAATGCAATTCATCCTGCCATACCTGCAGTGTCTTCAGCCTTTGCCAGCAAATTAAAAGTTGAAGCTTAATCATTAAATTATTATCTTTGTGTTAGATTTATTCATAAATCACATTTAAACATTGCTTGTACCAATTAAATTAAATAAAAAGTAACACACACGTTCTCTATCACAGTCATTAATCAGCAAACAAACAAACAGCAGCTTCATCTACTGTACCAGACAGACTGATGTTACGTTTTCTCTCTTGGAAACAGAACAATGTGTTAAATTGTAGAGACTCACCTGCAACATGAGTTGGGAGTGAGACAAGTATCAGCTGCAGCTCGTGACTCCGACATGTTTACGTTTATCTCCGTGGTTCTCTCGTGTCGTGTTGGCGATTTTCAAAGCTGCATGCTTCTCATTTTTTAT